GTCAACTCTCAGTAATCGGGCTATAAAAAACAGCCCTCTTTTTTCTCTCACGTTTTTTTTTCTATCGTCTGCACCTCAGGATCTCATGAGCACCGCAACCTCCACAGTGGGATGATGGATAACTCTCTCAGTATTGTTCTAGTACCATCTTTTGGTGTTTACGTAGCATAAGTTTCAAAAGCAGTGTAACTTCCAAGTGGTGGTTCCAAGTGAGGAAGCTACCCATTTTGGAGGTGGTGGGAAACGAGGTGGTGGTAGTGTACTGGGGACAAAAGCGTGCGTCAGAGCAGTGAATCTCGTCCATATTTGCCCAAAACTCTTCTATTTTTCGCTCTATTAGACTGCTGCCACATCCTTTCCCTTACAGCAAGTTATCCTTTATACTGCCTGGCTAGACCGCATAGCTCCTGTGCAAGCTACCCTATCGCTCTTATAGAAGCTTTTTCACCTCCCCACATGAATCACTCTACGATCTCAATTTTTATGAATCCTGTAAGGGAGTTCAGCTCACAATCAGTATTTCAATATAATACCAGAGAACGGTGCCCTAAAATCATTTTTCAGGCAGTTCGTAAAGAAGGTCTCATCATCAACCATGAGTACGCGGGTCCAATCTGTTTCACCCTGATCAGCTCACCGTTTCAGCGACTTTGCCGAGAAGCTGAGAAGTTGCAGCTGTCATTTCCGCTTAAGGACGTATGTTCTTTTTAACTTGAATAGTTACTCCGTCATTGAAGCTACAAAGCAAAAGCACCTGCTACTCAAGTTCATAGGCAGAATAACGTGAGAATAAGGGAATGTAGAAATGAATTCTACTACGAATGTGCTTTCTGTATTTTGCCTAGCTACCCGTTCACTTGATCGCACGACAGCCCCTTCAAGCGCAATTAATCTTTCCATTCCAAGGTGTGCCACGCACTTGATGTGTACCTGGCAACGGGTTGAGTGACGGCACTCTCGGAGAAGACGATTTATAGTTAGTTTTCTCGCCGCGTGGCATGTCGCTCGAGTCCAATGAATCTTACTATCGAAGAAAAAAAAAGTTTTTGTGCGCGCATTATATGAGTATGAGGGGCAAACATCCGATCTTTTGTAGAGGGATTTCCATAATCGGGGACCTCTATCAGTTAATTGATTCAAAAAAAGGAAGGGCCTGTTCAATCGTTTCGGGAGAAGGAAGGGCGTGTTCCGGAACGCCCCTGTGTTACGCTCCGCCCCTTAGTAACTTTTGTGCGAATTCCTGAGCCTTAGTCATGTCTTCGATTATATCGCTCATTCAGAGACGGTCCGAAACAGGCCTTTCTTGGATCAATTCACTTGAGGACTTATTGAATTTGATCTACGATTCGCTTACAGCCCAGAGCCATCCTGTCAAACAAACCAGCTAACTGAAAACTACAGCGTACGATTCCCTACTATCACATTCAGCCTTTCTTTTTACACATTAATTATATGAAGAATATGCGTACAATACTTACAAAAGTAAATAAGAGCAGTAGATGAAGAAGCTAAACAGCGGAAGATTGATTGCGGTAGATCAAATAACGATGGTAGAGGGGCAACCCAAGCCAAAAGCGCTCGACTCAAGCGACAAGGTGCTCGGTTCATCTTTTCCTTTTACCCGTCTTTTTGGTAACTTCTTGGTTTCGAGTTACCGCTTTCTCATTAACTTCTTCCCTTTATTGGTTTTTGTCTTTTTCCAATGACAATACACTTCCTCGAATAGAATAACATTCGCGTCTCTGCAGTTTTTATCAGAACTTTTCAGAATAGTCAGTGCTTGTGACATATTGCCTTGTATTTCAAGTAAACTTCTCTACTTAAGCAATGATATGCCTTCGTTCTTAAGAAGGATAATTTGCTCTCACAGCAAAATACCATAATAGTGTAGACGTCTCATGAAGTGGGCAACATTAGAAGTCTTGGTCCCTCAAGGCCGGAAAAACCTCGTGAATTGTGAGCTTTTCCTACAGAATAAGCGGATTATTATGCTCCTGGATAGTGGTTGCCTTCTAGGCAGTTTATAAGTCCCTTTCTGCCGCGAATTGGCTGCATAAGATTAACATAAGCATTTGACGTCTAGACAATGGATAATGAGCAAGATAAAGTTATCGTGGAGTGATATTTGACTATGCACATTGCCTTAATGGATTCAACAAAAAAGCACACTTCTGCCACAAACGGTAATGGTGTTTACAACCTCTCTAGTTCACAAGTCTTTTTTTAAACTGGCTTCCCATCTTGTGCAAATGAGTGCCAAACTCGTAAAATAGCTTGTAAAATATTCATAGTTAAGTTTTGCATTGAAAGGTGTTTATAGTTGGCGGCTTGAGGGTATTCGGTAGGGTCTAGAGAGTGATGAAACGATCTGGTAATTGCTGATTACGTGAGTCCGACTGAGGGTCGGCGAATTTGCGAAATACCTGTGCCAACCAAGGACATGATACAACTTAATGGAGAGTCAGAAAAAATGATGAATCGATACGTATTTAATCCTTAGGGAAAAAAGAGAGAATTCCAAAGCTGTTGTTGTCCCTTGCAAGCAGGAACTCTACATCGGCTGTCTTCACTTTTGGTAGTGTTCGGTGGAGAAATCCACTCAAGGGCTCAACAATGTAGGCATTCTCGGTCCACTTGACGTGGACGCTATCTGATGGCTCTATCGAAGCTGGCCATGGTGGAGTTTGCAGAGTATAGCGAGTATAGCAAATGTAGCGCCGGGGTGTGACTTCCTTTCTTGTTTATATGACCACATCATTGTAGAATCCTTATCCTATGGTTATAAAAGTGTCTGTCTTTGTCAGTATCGACTATATCAAGGGCATAGTGAGTCTGTCAAACCACGGTCGCTAAAGGACTTTAGTCAGTCCGAGAACAGCTACTGAAATCAAANAAACGAAACTTCAGATGCTGATATATCTATTGCATTTCATTTCATGTAACTGCTTGTAATTTTTCTTATCTTACAATGAACATCTGCAGTGCCCAGTGAATCCATCCGCTCCAGCTTGCTGTGTCACTCTTTCCAATGCCTTCGTCACTGATGATACCGGTAAGTGAAAATTTTGCCCATTATATGTACTGGCCGTATATTGGGAGGAAACTGTAGTAAAGCTTTGTATTGTCGTTCATCAACCTCAGAAACGCAGGGGTACTAGGCAAATTTTTGAAATATTGAGTGAAACAATTTTTGTATCTCATTTCAACACCCTCTTCACTTTTGCTTTAATGAGTTGATTGAACTAAAATTGAATTTGTCATAGCTTCCCAAGAAGTTTAAGATGAAAAGCACATGTATCAGCTAGATCCTTGTTTTCAATGAAACTTATAACTTTTGTAACGACTAATGAGAGTTCGGGAAGCCATCTCCATGATTCTGCATGATTCTTTTCCTTTCAATTTGATGAAATTGTTGCAGTGGACTACATTAGTGCACCATTCTCTCGGCGACACGGTGAACTATTCCTGAACTATACCAATGAGAGGCTGTTTTTCACTTCAGCTCAACGGTGTGAGCTCACACATGAGGTCAGCATTCTAGGACCTTCGATTTATAGAAAATTCGACAACAGTGACAAAACGAACCCAGAAAAAGCAGAACTATAAACGGTGAAAAAAGCCATGCACTGCCTACTTCAGTGATGGTCTTGGTGCTCGAATGGTTTAGAACGGCCATTCTATCAAGAATCTGTGGGTTCCTCAGGGCGCGTTCTGTTGTCTTGAACTCAGCAAACTAACAACGAAGAGTGGTCTGGTTCAGGCAGCCGCTCCTCGTTGGTGACTTGGTTAGCTGCAAGACCATAATCCACATACTTCACCTCTTATTGCGCTTTAACCTGTTTGCGGCAAAGCATCAGTGATACCACCCAGTGAAAGGAAGCAGTCTTTCTTAGTGAGGGAATCATAGGTGATTCTAGGTTATCACCTTCAATCACTCGCCGGGATGCGCCAGCTCTTCTTCCTGTCCCGTTAACGACAAAGCATATATAAATTAAATTGCAACAGGGCAAGTAAAAAACGGAAGCATGCTCGTGAATGAAGCTGTAGTCGACTACTTCAGATTTTGACGCAAATCGATATCAGTCAGGACTTGGAGAAGGCAACTCACGATCCAGCTCTGGATACCGAATCGCAAAAATCTGTGATATCTGATGAGCCATTGAAAAGAAAAGGCTTACAGTACTTGCGAATGGAGAACACTTATAACGACTCCTTCATCCTGCATGAGCCTAGTCAGGTACTGTAACTTGTGCGACATTACAAAATAACTGCCGGGTATTACACTGTTTAATATTGGATAGTGTTTAATATTATGAAGGACTCCGTCTTGTGCCAAGGAATTTACTAGAATTAAGTCAAATGAAAATAGCATTTAGGAGGAGCCGTACTTCCAAAAAATGAGACAGAACTCTTTCGTTACGTATGTGGAGATGATGAACGAAATCGAGAAAGATCCCAGGCAAAAGCTGAGCGGTCTATGGACCAGGTGATATATTTTACAAAACTTTCTTCTTTCTTATGTTCTCTAAGTCGCAATTTTTCGATTCCTCTGTTTTCCCCCATTTGAAGAAATCTTCACCGCTCTGTGTTGAGAATAAGGGCTAAGGAAGAGCAGGTAACTAGGATCTGCGGTGATGCATTATCTGCTTGAAACTCTAACTCATAAATCGAGCAATGCGATTCAAGCCCTTCACGCAACTCGCTACCACCGTTTTTGCAAATGCGTCTCAAAGTTGTGGAGGACGTGCATGAATTACCTTGTGATTAGCTTCCCTTCCTTCCAATAGTTAGGAGCCCATTCTCTGCGTTTTGGGGATGTTTTCGAATTGATTGATCTTCACTTCAGATTTCTTCGCTTCCAGCCGTTGGGTCTCGTTCGTGAATACTTCGGAGAACAGATAGCATTTTATTTTGCTTGGCAGGGAACGTTCCTCACAATGCTCTGGCCAGCCACGTTCTTTGGCTTGGCAGTATTTGCCTTTGGAATGACAAAGAGGTAGAAACTCCTTGGCAGTTTCATGGGACCACTAATTCTGTCAACTTTCCTCTCTTTACCCTTCCCACCTCTTTCACAGCAAACGGGAAACATGTTCGAATTCAGTGTTCGTACCAATCCGGCCACCTACGGGAATTGCACCGTGATCAACTACTATGGCGGATCTGTCGTTGTGCCTTGTGACTTGAGAAACCAGTTAGTTTTCATCATCTTCTTTTGGCTATCGTAAAATTATAAGTAATGATAGATTTTGTTGTAGAAGCAGTACGATGAAATTCTATAAGAATTAATTTCCCGCAGATATGAAATTTATAATTACCAGAAAAAATAAGTTCTGGATTCCAGACTCTCTCAACTCTTCACCACCATCTCGTCATGGTTCATGAAGTCATTCGATAACGAGTTGAATGCATTCTTCGCAGCGTTCATGTCGATTTGGGGTAAGTACACAACTGATTGAAGAGGGAATCCTCATTTCGTTATCATCGCCTATCATGATCGTACCAATAAACGCATCTTAAGGCCAGCGCACGATTACCATTCTCTTTCTTTGGTAGGTGAAGGCTTTAATATACAGTATCGAAGGCATACTATGCAGTACCGGCCCCGGCAAAGTCCCATTTTAAAAACTCTGCAAGATTGAAAACAATAAAGTAGTCTTCTCTCAGACTCAAATAAAGGTAGTGTTCAGAGCATCTCTCCGATAAACAGATAAATCAACTCTGAATAGATCAGGGATATAGGAACTGAGAGATTAAAAGGAGTTCAGAGATTAAAAAATTACTGCAGGACATATTGTTTTAGGAACGATGTTCTATCAGATTTGGAGACGGAATAACATGGTATTGGCATATGAATGGGATTGTGAGGATTTCAATATGGTCGAGCCGGATCGGCCTGAATACCATGGAACTTCTATTAGAACGGTATGTGCTTTGTACTGCATAGCACAGAAGCATAAGCACATAAGTAGAATTGTATCCCATCCATGGATGCAGCTTTTTGATACTATCGAGTAATTTTTTTGTAATCATGGTTCGAGTATTCGTAGCGGTAAACAGTGAGTATAGCTATCATAAATTTGTCTACAGTGAGTATGGACCCATGACATAAGGTTTCATTTATGAAGTGAAACGGATGGAAGGAGTTGAGCAATTGAGACTCGTGTTACAACCTAGGAAGAGATTCAGAAGTGGCCGTTATACCCGTTCTGCAGCTGACGGTAAGAGCATATTAGGGAGATGATTGGTTGTACAGGTATAGGGAATGAGTTTTAGCTTAAAAGAACTCTGGCACCTTCCTCAGAAACGAGAATAAACCCTCTGCTCCTTGAAACGATGTGCATACTGTATATGAGGCCTGTGAATATCCAAGGACTCTTCAGGATCCGATCACAGGAAAGCCAGAATACTTCAATCCATACATGGTACGATTCCTCAAGTACACCGTCTCCTGTATTGCCGTCATCCTGAGTATGTGCTTGGTTATCCTCAGCGTGTTCCTGGTCACTCTGTATAAGCTCTGGGCAGTATCAAGTCACGAATGTGAAAAAGAGGTGAGCTCGATTGCTAGCTTTCCAGATCAGTGATTTGATGACCCATTTTTGATTAGTCAGAAAATCGGATTGCTTTTTTTGTCCCTTCTTCTTGTAGTCAGTAGACCAACGATCTCTCAGAATACAGCTCTATGTTACGACAACTGATTATATATGCAGTCCGCTACATAGCACGAACTGTGTAGCGAACAAGGCTGTCAGCACTGCTCCATGCCCATAATACATCATTGGACACGGGAATAAAACAAAAACAACCGCTTTTAAAGGGAGCTAGACCTCCCTGCTGACTTCGATGGATATGTAAATCTACCCACAAACATAGTGCAACGGGAGATCGGCATTTACTTTGCTTTTGCCCTCCTACAATCTTAAGAAAAAGTTTCACCATCGTGGATGATCTGTTAGCTGTTTCACGCTAGTGATGTTGAAAGCCTCGCGGCTCTGCTAGCCTCAAAGGTTATGAGGTTTGGATGTTAAGGAATGGGCTCCAAACTACAGAGACATTCTGCAATGCTCATGTAGGCACAGCGTAGACCCAGATAAAAGTTTTGGCAAATTAGCCCAACGCCTTCCAGACGTGAGACATAAGTTTCGGATGCAAACAACGATTTGTATTCCAGTACACCTTTGGATGCTCGGTGGTTGCGGCATACATACCTTCCGTGATGAATACGTTATCCACAATGATACTTGGCAGTATCTATGAATGGCTGGTGGTGAAGCTGACACAATGGGGTAAGCTAATTCCACAGTTTTAAACTGGTTCAAAAAGATTCGATGTCCATCGGTCTAGAATCTTACGGCACTGCTTTGCCTACACTCGACTTTAATCGAAGTTTTTTTTTATTCTTTCTTTGCTATCTTTCATACGGGTCCTAAACTAAGCTCATAGATAGACTGGGGCTTAACCCTTCCATCACGTTTTATGTCTAAGGATCTTCAGAAAACCATCGTACCAACACTGATTACCACAACGCGCTTGTTATCAAGATGTTCACACTACAGCTTGTCAACAACTACACCTCCCTTTTCTACGTTGCCTTCATACGACCGGAAAATAATGTAAGCTATTAGGCTACAAAATTACGTTCATTCAGGTCATGATAATGCACATTTAGGGCTTCCAAGCAAACGGACTTTTCGGCTTGGGCGACAAATACAAGGACATTTGTCTTCCGGGCACGTGCGGTTCATTGTTGGCTCTACAACTTCTTTCGCATATGATTATCAAACCAATACCGAAATTTACGAAAGATATAGTCATACCGTAAGTGAAGATGACTAAAAGCTTGATCTACAACAAGTCACAGTTCTAGTCATAGCGAAAGCTACCA